TGCTTCGCATAGCGATTAAATTTTGGGTCCCCTGTTTCGCTTAACGATGGTTTAAACAGCCTCATGTTTGCTGTTTTTTAAATGTTTTTCTGTTATTTATAAAGTTAAAGTTTACTGTTTAAAATGTTTGAAATCATAAAGTGCACTTAATAACCCCCTTGTTAACCAAATTAGACTTTGTTCTGACTCTTTTTTAATTTGTCGTTGTATTTTTTTCCCCCCATTGAGATGCATTGAATAGGTTTCAATGCATTTCAACTGGGGAACCGCATTTCGCTTAGCTATGTTTCCTATGGCGATTTTCGCTTAAGGACGGCAATTCATTCCTATTGGAACAGATTATCCGGTTTTCAATGCATTTCTATTGGAATGAATTAACATCGCTAAGCAAGGCACCTCTGTATCTGTATCTGTATCTGTATCTAATCTATCTATACACACACGTGTGTGCACGCACACGCACATGCACACACACAGACTTTTCCCCTTCAAATGCCAGCCCTCCATACTACATCACAAATGGCTGTTTAAAGCAAGTATGTCATGCCATATGGGGAATCTTCTGTTCAAGAGACTCAGGAATCAGGTCCAAAATTGTCTTGTGTACATGACATTAGAGATGTAAAAAAAAATACTTAGTTCTAATTTTGCTGGTTTTCTCCACATTCCACTAGCATTTTCTTCTTTTCATAGTCCCACATTGGGTTGTGAAGCTTTGTTTTGAACCACAGAGATTCTTTTTGGATGAATTTTAACATGTATACCCAGTGTGTAGTATGCACGCAAGTGACAGCTTAGTACTCAGGAGGTCTGGGTTCAAATCCCTACTCCACCATGGAAACTCACTGAAGAAGTGGAACTTGCAAAGCCACTTAAACATCTCACTTACCTTGAAAGCCCTATTAACGTCACTGTGAGCTGGTTCCGACTTGACAGCCCGCAACAATTTTCACATGAACTCGTGCTACTGGCCTTGATGGGGATCGACACACACCCTGCTTTACACATCTTTCTTACTTATTTTTCAGATTTTTTTGTTTTTTGCATTTCCTCCATTGACGAGAGCATGTTTCTGAACATATTTCAACCATATACATTTGTGTTGTAGTTGTATATTATGTGCCATTAAGTCAGAACTGACTTAAATTGAGCCTAATAGGGTTTCCACGGTAAATGAGATATTTAAGGAATGGTTTTACCAGTTCTAGCCCTTCAGTGAGTTTCCATGGATTGGGCCACATGGATTGCTGTATGCCCCTCCCACACTTTGCATTGTTTCTTGATGCAAAATGGGTGACCAACTCATTATCCCATTTTCCCCATCAGTAAATTTCTGCTGCTGAAGATAGTTGGTTTAGCTAGTCGTCCATTTCTTTACTCTGCGTCTTCCTGGTTCCTTGCTCTGTCACCACTCTTACAATACCAATAGCCCATATTTACTGGGAAGTAAATACAATAGTAATAATTGTAGCAATCCCCTTCAAATTGCAATAATTGAGCAATTGCAATAATTTTGCAATATTACTGTAGTATTAACTGACTTGTACTAATAACTGAAGCTTATGGACCTTGTTGCCACTTACGCTCAGGATTCAAAGATCTACAGAGCACAGAAAGATCCTCAGAACACAGAAATGTTACTGTTTGGGGGTATGGCCACTCCTTGTTCCAGAAACATAGTCCAATAACAACAATTGCAAGCTTTTATTTACATACAATCAAGGTCTTGCAGGTAAAGTAGAAACAAGGGATTGTGCTTAAGAGCATAGTGCTCATCATATATCTCAACCCAGTTTTTCAATGTCCCTAATTTCTGAAAGTAGTTGTACATAAGCTGCTTTTGTAGAAACAAAACAAAATACCCGACTTGGGTAAGATGAAACTAGCTTCTCAGTTCTTGAGATCCTCGCCAATATGTACAGCTTGCTCTACTGATCATGGGCACAGCAGGTGCAAGACACTGGTACACCCAAGCAGCTCCTGGTGGTCTACCCTGTCTCTCAGGAAGGCCCATTGCTGGGTCATTTGTTTAGCTAGAAAGGGAGAAAACAAATCACACTCTGAGTTTTAATTCCAGTGGCAGTCTCACATTGTTGGGGCTTCTCAGTCTAGCAAAATCAGTCTTTTGTTTGTGCTGGGTGGGGTGGGAAGGGACTTGACAAACCTTATGAGTCTGCATTAAGGAGATGATAAATATTTACAAATAAACATTGATTTGCTACAAGGAAGAGATGGTAAAAGAAGATGCTCAAGCATTCCTTTTTGTAATGCAACAGGGTAAAATACAAGAGCCATCGATCCATCCACACAAGTAAGTAATGCAGTGCAAATACAAACTGTTATTTTACAGCAGCTTTTACTCAACATGTCCCAAGGTGCTTTCCTCCCTGTCAATAAATGAAACAACAAAGCTGCAATTGAACTGGATCAGCCGGAGAAAATAGATATTTCTTTTAACTGGCTTTAAATACTGGCAGCCAGATCCTTGGGCCTGGCCAAGAATGGAAGATGTGCACTGGAGTCTTAAAGAAACAAAACACACCACACCTTACTTACATTTTCCCCATAGAAAGACGACTGGCAAGTGGGCTGTCTATGGAGGTCATTTAATGGTACTAATTACCTTTTCTGAACCTACAATATGATGTCAAAAAGAGCAGGTTGAGGCTAATGAGAAAGTAATTCTATCTTTCCTCAGTGAGCTTATCTGCTTTCTCTGCTCTCCTGCTTTCATACCTATACATGTGGAAATACAAGAGTGAGCATGATCTTGATCTCGGGGTCCACTGGTACATCCTTACACTTCATGAACTTTTCTAGTTCCTCCACTGCTGCACTTCCAAGTCTCATTCTTCTGATTTCTTGGCTGTATCCTCCATTTAGATGGATGACTGAAACAAGGTATACAAAATCTCTGTTTCAATTCCTTCCCATTCATAACCCTCCTCAAAATTATACAAAATCTCTATTTCAATTCCTTCCTATTCATAACCCTCCTCAAAACCTTTGAGCTGAAAATGAAAGGCAACTTCATGAGATGTAGGTCGCATGGGGTTACTCAGAAGTTAGTGAGAACTGGCTTAGTGGTGAGATGCATGAGACTACCAAAAATAAACAAAATGAACACATCACTAACTCAAATTTCTGTTGCTAATGTTTCCAATGTTTTTGCTGCCACTGTTGCTACCAATAATTGGTAGCAACTGTGAGGACCCTGTAGGGCAGGGGCCCCCAACTCCCAGTCCACAGCCCGGTGCTGGTCTGTGGCCTTGGCAGGACCAGGATGCGGAGACAGATCTCCTGCCTCCCCGCACACCCACCCGCATGCACGGCCCATCCACCTGCATGCATGGGTGCCCTGCCCATCAGTGCATGCAAGTGAGCGCACCCTGCCCACCCACGAGTGCACTCTGCCTTTCCACGCAAGTGTGTCCCACCCACCCATGAGCACGGGGGGGTCTCCCTGCACACCAACCCCACCCCCCAACTGGTCCATGGTTTGGAAAAGGTTGGAGACAGCTGCTATATGGCCCTCTGGCATGCTACAGCCCTGTCTGTCTGCATGACAGAAAATCCCCTCCTCTTGTGGAAGGGGAAGTCCCATACATTGTGGTCTTGTGACAGAGGAATCCATTTTCATGAACACGAGCTGCGCTCTTCTAGTGATGGCAAGCAGGTGACATGTGTAATGGATCTGAGAACTTCCAATGGCCTATAGTCCCTTTGTTGTTTACCCTTACCTTCAGCACCAGAGATGGGGGTATTTGTATCCGTATATGAATACAAATAGAAATATCCCTGCACAGCTGGACTTAACGAGGGTCTGACCCCTGGGGCTGGATCATCCACTCATGCATCTGGCGGTGGCAACCTTTCTCTTCCTTCCGATCGCCCCTGGAGTGCCACTCTCTTCCTACCTGGCTAGCGACTCCTCAGCCTTGCAGAGAGACTTGTCCTCCCTTCCATTGCCAGGAGCAGCTAGCCAGGAGGGGCTCCAGGAGTGATTGGAAGGAACAGCAAGGCTGTCACCACCGCCGGAAGCATGAGTGGACCCTCATTAAATCCAGCTGCATGGGGATATTCATATTTGTGCACGTATACCCCCATTTCTACTCCCCACCTAAAAATCTTACCACAAAGCTAAGCATGGTTAATTGAACAGAAAACACTGAAAGGGGTGGATTTTGCACTGGACTGTGGCCGAAGAGTGAATATCTGAACAGAAGCCTAATTTTATGTAGAGAGCCCATAGCCCTTTCTTGTGGTTATTGTATTCTTTAGAACTCTATGCATGCTGACAGTTTAATATAAGTAACAGTATTCTAAATTTATTCCATTATCAGGTCATTTTAATGGAATTAGGCATTTATAAAACAAAGCAATGAAACATACCTCAGAAAATATACAATATATCAAAGCATTTACAGTGAAGCAGTAAAATTGTTATCATCTCCACTTCATTAATATGCAAGTCATAAACAAGCCACATCTTGATTTAAGCAAACAAGCTGTAAAAGAATGAAAAACAGCATAATAAAATTCATAAACAATAGGAAAGGAACTATTGTCAGGTATCTGGGGTAAAGTATGCAGTTACAAAAATAAACATTTTAAAATGTGTGCTCCGAATAAAATTATTCATAAAACGTATTGTCTAATAAAATACATGTAGTATAAAAATAACAAAATGAGATATGCTTAAATCGGTATAGGACAAGTGCCAGCAGCCACCTCTATCCTGTAAAACAGGGGTGGGCCAAATGGAACACCCATAACTGCAACTCCCACCAGTCCTGTCAGCCAGCTGAGTTCAGAGTGAGCATGACTATTAGGAGGGAGTCCAGCAAGAGTCAATACATACATACATACATACATACATACATACATACATACATACATACATACATCACACACACACACACACACACACACACACACACACACACACACACACACACACACACACACACACCAGAAGGGATGAAAGCATGAAAGGACACACACCTATCAAAGACATTTATTGTACACTGTGTATTGATTGTATTATATATATAGTACAATGGTGAGTTGTAGTTCTTTGGGAGGCACCTTCTATAGATCCAAATTGGCAGTGAGACTATAACTTATATGCCCAAGATGGCTTGGCTTCCATTAATTGGCCAACCGTTCCTGCTGTCATGTGACCAACCAAAAGGGGAGGAGCTCTCCTGGGTGTGGACCAGGTGAGCTCTATAGAGGAGAACTTCCAAAGGACTGAGACTCTAGGAAGAACAGCAGCATCTTTCTCCTTTTTTAAAAATCAAAACTGGAAGACAATGGTGGAAGCGACAGCATCAGTGATAAGCCTTCTCTTAAGTCTCTCCATGCAAAATCTAGAGATCTACAGATTTGTTTGTGGGCTGCAAGTTCCAAAACTCTGCTTAGAAATTCTTGGACAATTTGTTTTGATTTTTTTGCAACCACACATGCTACCTCTAATTAGCATAACTGGAAGGGATCTTTTTGTGGTGGGGTGACTGTCAATCTATTCAGCACTAACCAATAGTTCCCTATGGCCTGTGAGTGCAGAGAGCCCTACCTCTCTGCTGAGTGTTTTCCCCTCTTTGGAGTCTGTTGAAGTCTGTTGCTGAAAGTGATCATGTTTGTTTGTTGTTGATCTGTAAATAAATGAAACTTTTTAAAAAAATCTTTTCTGCCTGTGATCATGTTTGTTTGTTGTTGATCTGTAACTGTATGTGCCAGTTAATGAGAAAAGCAGTGGACTACTTTGGGCAACCTAAAGCAATTCTAATTTGTGAATCCCTGCATTTCTGGCTAGAAGAATTTAACTAAAGTTCAAAATTCTGCAACAGAATTCTGGGCCTTGTAGCCCAAATACCCCAAATAGCACACCTCTAGTTTCTGAGGCTACTAACTTGTCCATCAATCCTCATTAAATTAGTTGGGCTCCAGGCTTCAGAAGAAGAATCAGGGAAGTCTTCCATGGGATTCCTGGAAGAAAATAAAATTCATGATAAGCAATGCTAGATGAGAAGAGAGTTTGCTTCTTGTATGTAAGGAGGCTTTAAAGCCTTGGCATCTTTGCCCCTTCCATTCCTAGTTGGTGCCAGCAGCTCAACATTAAAGTATTCATAATTCTTGTTTGTCTTGTCTCTGTGACATCATAAAGGTCCATCCCTGGTTTCAGGTTTTGGTCCTGAAATCATGGGGAATGGCTGCTAGCCTTCTTGAAGGATTAAGGAAGAGAGTAGATGGAGAGTTTAATTGTACCAACTAAAGAGAAACAAGTCCAAACAGTAGGACTCCTACTGTACAGGAGACAACAGATGTTGGGTACCTTCTGTTTGCTCTGTGACATAGACTATAATATGACTCCTACTGTACAGGAGACAACAGATGTTCAGTACCTTCTGTTTGCTCTGTTGTGACATAGACTATAATATCATTTGGTTCTCCTGTGATGCTTATCACAAAGACTATTTAGATGTGTTCCAGAGAAAGCACACCATCCATGAGACCTTTATTGTATAGCTCACTCTGTATGATGAAAGTAGAGATATTCCACAAATTTCAGGCAATAAAGATGCGAAGAAAAACAGACAGGCCTTCAGTACAGATGCTACAGTATATTGCTTCTCAAGACTTCACCAAGACTTCACCAAAGAATTATAGTTTGCCACATAATGCCTATAGAACTATATTTCCCAGGATTCCCCATGTCGAAGACACAATTTTCTTAAGGTTTCTTAGAGTGAAGGAATGATTGTTAAACCAGTTTATGGATTGTATCCAAAGGACTTTACCTCACTCATAGAAAAATGTTGGAGATTAAGGACACTTCTGTTAACAGATTAACAAGGGAGGCAAATTTTTTTATTCTCCTAACCTATAGTTCACCCCCTCACACACATGTAAGAAGGACCCCTCAACCCTCCAGAGTAGGTTCTGCAGCGTCATGGGCAATTAAGGAAAAAGGCCTAAACATTTCCTCTTCTTTCACTGCACTGTTGGGAGCCTCTTCTGGCTCAAAAGTGTTTGGTCAATGAAGTGTTTAGAATCCCAAAAAGACAGAGTAGGTTCCTCTTTAGAGATGAAAAAAGCTATGGTGAACATGTGAGCAAAGGCAGAAAAGAATGAAATGGAGAGGGAAAGACATCAGCATGTTTGAGTTTGAGACAGAAAGGAAGCCAAGCAAACATTTTCAATTATATCTGTTATTCAGAACAGAATCTGTTAGGATAGCAGGATGTAAGTCTTTGAGGCTTTTTTTGAGGCCGATTGCTACCATCTGTTTTTTTAAATATGAAGAATACAGTACTTGAATGCATCATCCAGTGCAGTAAAGAATAATATGTCCTTATCATGTGGTATTGCTGAGCTAATCACAGTTGAAATGTAAAGTAAAAACAAATTAATAGTCAAACAAGTAGAATAAAAGAAGTGTGTGTTTGGGGAATGCACCGCAAATCAAAATATAACTTCTAAGCCCTTGTGGTTAGAAAGTGTATTGTACATATTAAACTACAGTATGGAAAACATTACATTTTAAAGGATTTAGTAGCAAGGTCCCTCCCCAAAGAAGTTAGTTATAATTGCTGTTTTTAAAAATTAAAACATAATTTCCTTATTTTTCACCATAGGTGCTTTTAGTTACTTTTGGGAGGTGGAAATCAGCATCCTATGAGCTACTGGCTTGTGATATAAAACACACCTAAGTAATGAGGCCACATTCCAGGTGTAACTTAATAATAACAAAAACCCAGTTACAGTAACACTTCAAATGCAGTGAAATTATCTTCCATTATCTTCTAATCATAATGTAAGTTACTCTGAATGGAAGAAGCCACTTGGATGAGTAGCGAAAAGTTTCAGCCTAGTAAGAAAGAACTCCAGTTGCCATGACTCAACTTCCAGATACAGTAACCTCATCTGGATGACTGAGGATCTTCACAGACAATCTTCATCTTACTCTTTCATTGTTAGAAAAAGGACTTAATTACAAACAATTCTTTATTTCTAACAAGTTACCTCCACACTCCACATGGCACATCAAATATTGCTGATGCTTCTCTGTCACCCAATCTTCAACATAAACCACCCTTGCCAGCTGTCTCAGATAATCATTTAGAAATGGCACAAATAAATCATGATCAGGTGACAGCAGCAACATCTTCCAAGCTGTTGTCAATTAAAAGGAAGATAAAAATTCCTTTCCTATTAGATGAGCAAGTTAGATCATTGTGTGCCTTTAAAAAAATCTTGTGTTCCAAATATTTCTCTTGCTGAGCTCAGAAAGTCTAGCTGAAGGAGAATGTGCATATAAAGGATTTGGCAAATGCATAGATTTTGGAAATCTGATGTTAACTCCCGTATGAGACTCAGCAAAGGATAATTTTAGATAAGCATACCTCTGAAGGGTGTATCTTTCTAATCGTATGCACATTCCTCCTGAATTTCAACAGTACGGATTTTTTCCCCTTCTGTGCCAGTTTTCACTCCTCAGTATCTGACACCAGCTGTAATTTTTTTTGCTTGTTTCTTAACAATTCTCAGATTCAATGTAAGAAATGTAATAAAGGTGTTTTTAAAAGTGCCATAGTGTAACTCCATGTATAATGAGTTTAAGCACATAATTATGGCTACTTAATTATTTTGCTGGAGGATGATGTGCTAAGAGTTAAGGGAGTTAGTTCTGAACATGGAATCCTTGATTTTATAATATATTTTAGAAATTCTATTGAGGACCCTCCCCTTCCCCTCCCCTTGTTTTAATAACATTAATATTAGCAGTATCCTTTCTAGGTTCGTTTCTGGTAATGATCCAGTGCTCCTTTTCTGGTAAGAATGAAGGGTAATCTTCCATCTAGCAGAACTCTTCTCATTTCACATCTCCCGTAACAGAAACAGTTCAGAAAGGTACCTACTGTATTTCACCGTTGTGCTGTGGGTTGTAAAAATGCATGTCTTTGGGTTGACAGTTTCCCAAAGAGGTTGCTTTTTGGGGGTTGTTGTTGTTGTTTTGGCTATGACTCCTTTACCTACAACAAGATGCCAACCTTGATTATCAATCATACAAGCCAAAACATGGCTGTGCATGCTTTGGTCTGACGTAAGTTATGGACAAAGTTGCAGTATATTATACACTTAACTTGGAAATAGGTTTTATTGAACACATCTGAGCTTGCATCTGAGTAGATGTGTGTAGGAATGGCTGAAAATTCAGCAAACTTGACTTCCAGGTGAAGACAACCAGGAATTCAGTCCTAACTGAACTTCCAAACATATCTCTTTTTTATGATAATCACATCTCAAGTTTTCCTATTCTGTAAAGCTGATTTCTGTGTCAAATTTCACCACCTGAACAAAGAATCTTTCATGTTTACTCAAGAAGTGTGTGTACCAAATGATGAGCACTGTTCAGGCAATAAACCTAAAAGTGTAGTGAATGCACAGACAGAAAACACAGCTAGTCATGCTGGCCTGTCACCCTACACAACAGTGTTGCCCAACCTTTTCTCTTTGTGTTCAGCCTTTGCTAGGTTGAATGGAAAGATCTACTTATCTTTGCCTGAACATGAGTAGACCTCTCTGGGCATTTGTGGACCTTGCTCTATAGTGGTGAGCTCCAACCTGACCTCCACACATGCTTCATGTGAAAGTATGTGTACAGCATACACTGCACAATTACATGGGTTCAGTATTATCTCCACAAAATTGGAAACACTGGAAAAGCTGAAAGATGTACATGATAGACAACACTCTTCAGAACAGGCAGCAGATAGCTCAAAGTCCTTCTTCATTGTTGCGTAACATATTTCTGCTAACATATGCACATCCAAGAGAGGCAGAAAACCTTGGAATAGGATCTTAAAGCATGGACACAGATGTGATATTTGTGTTTTAAGCCAGTTAGGGCCTTAAATGCAAGTGTCAGCAGCCTGAATTGGGTCCAGAAGGTATAAGAAGCATTTTTGAGTGGACAGTTCTGGTTTGTATATATTATACCATTTTTTAAAGAAAGTGATATAATACATAGAAACCAGGTGTTACCTATCAAAATTGTGGTGGTCAACTTCTGTACCAGCTAAAATTCCTGAATTATCTCTAAGGATAGCCTCTTGAATTGCAACAATCCTAGCTTACTGGGCAGGTGGAGGGCAGCCACATATATGCGCATAATTCTCATTGTAGCTTGTAAGTCACTGAACTGTTTACTACTATGTCCAACATGCCTCTTCTTGGAAATCTGATAGCTGGCAAAAAGATATTTTGTGCCACTGAGATCAACTGGGCCTCTCGAGATAAAAATCAAATCTGGGCATATCTCTAAAACACACACCTGTTCCTTCAAGGAGAAAACAAGTTCATCTGGAATGGGAAAAAATATAGAGTATAAAAATATATAAATAGAGCTTCTCAGAATCTGCAAACCACTTATCCAGTGTGTCCATCTTCTCAGGTTTCTGCTTCAGTTTCTGGGTCTCATCTAGGAATTGTTTCAGAGTTTCACCTGACTCAGATGTCATGGGGAAATAGAGCAGGACACCAGCAGTGTATGGTTAATAGTGAGCAGAAAATTATACAACAAACAAACTGTTGGAATTATTTTCAATCTTGAATTGCTGCCTTTGGTGAGTTAGGCTTGAAGGGACCTTTCCAGGCTGTTGTGACTGTCAATAATCCAGCAGTAACCTGCTGTTCCTTCCCTGCTTCTAATTTTGAAGAGAGGCATGCCTCTCTGCTTAAGAGTCTTTCCCCCTCTCTCTGCTGTCAGTTTGTGTGCAGTTATGCTGTTAGTACTCTTAGAAATGTAGTTCGCAGGAATCTGCTGGAACCAGGCTGTGAGTCTGTTAAGGCCTGTTCTAGTAAGCAGTCATTTTTGTATAGTATGCTGTTTTTGATCTATTCAAACTGTAAGTAAATGGAACTCCACTCATGAAACTTTTTATTCTTTTTCTTACCAGTGTCTCAGAGTGAGATGCTGAGATTGTAAGTGCCAGTTGATGAGACAATAAGAGGTGGCCTACTCTGGGGAGACTTGAAGCTAATTGTGCTCTGTAAGTCCCTGGATTTCAACCGTGCATCTAGAGGAATTTAAAAAAATCGAAACTCTGTAACACAAACAAACGAACTGGATAGAGGTAACTTGATGTGGGCACTCATGCAAGCTATATAGAGAGTTCAGCAAAGAAATATAAAAAAAATCCATACATGTCTTGAATATTGAAAATTTCACTAGCAGTATTCTAGTTAAAACATCAGACTGATATAGACAAAAAGAAATATTTAACTTATATTGTTGGAATCAGCTCTGACAATGCACAATATAATGCATGGGTATATTGAACTCAAAACAAAACTTGCCAAATATATGATGACAACTATGTTTTTAAGTAATTCAGAAATGCTAATACTACTCGTGATTTGAACACCTCCTTTGTTCCTGCTCAATATTGAGTGTGTTTCATCAACATATGAATGAAACTATCAGAAAATGGTTCTGTTTATCATTTTCATTTTGTGTGGGAATCATGCATATTTACAGAGTCACTTCAAGTCCCTCCAAAGAAATGTGCAACAACAAGGAAACCTCTTTTTAATTGTTCAACTCTGTGGCTTCTTTTTATGTACAAGAAGGACTTCGTAAAACAAAGGAGAACGTGTTGAAAAACAGTGATGGCCATTCTATTTTCTTGCAGCAGTATGTTTGTAAACAATCAGATTTGAGAGATGCAGCAGTGATATTAGAAAAACCTATTGGAAGAGCTGGGACAGCCAGGAACACACTTTATATATTCCAGAGATAAATCATGAGATCACTAGATGTCAAATAAAAAAAGAGCTAACATACTTCACCATCTTTTTACCTTGCTTACCTTTCTGTTCGCAGTGAAGATCCTTTGTGTCTAGGCTCAGTTCAAATGTGAAGCAGAACAACAAGCTCAGATAGCAGTTGCTGGGGGAAAGGCGGCGACAGCAGTCCCTTGGGTGTTCAATCTGAATCTTCCAACTCCACCCTTGTTTTGGAAGGTACAGGAAGGCACTTATTGCTAGTCCAGATCCTACAAAGTGGCTGGCAATTGTCAGATGTGGTGTGTTGGGAGAGTGCTGTTCCATTTCCAGTATTCAACTGGAAGTCTATTCAGCTTCTGAATATGAAATGGACCACCCTCTTACCCTGTGGGCTACAGGCAGGAGAGAAACAGGGATTTGGGGAAGACATAGACGGTTATTAGAGGTATGATGGATTCACAGCCCCACAGTAAAGCTGACAGACATTTAAAAGTGAAGGAGAGAAGCTTATGGGACTTCAAACCCAATCTCCAACCACCTACATCTATAAAAGAATCTGGAATGCCAAGAATTAAATGGTGTGTACAATGTATAAAAGAAATAGATCATGACAAGCTAGACGGACAGATTTATACATGGTTTGTGGCATACTTTGTCACCAGGTGTTCCTTTCACATTGAATATAGATAGACCTAGGTATGAAGGCTATTCAAGTAACCAATCTGTGTTACGTTATATGATTTAGTCTAAGGAGACTCCAAAAACATAAACACACTTGACAGCATACAAAGAAATCCCACCATGTAAACAAAACTCCAGTGATTAACTTGTTCCCTCCACTTTTGACAAGACCACCCATAATGATACCATGGATCACAGTGAGAGGCAAGGCATCTTTGAAGTTTAGTCCATTTTTAATTGTTGGTTGAGAGACACCCAGAGAGAGAGAGCGCACCACATATTTGGGCAAACCAGAATTGAAGCAAGTGTCCCAATTTAGTTATAAATATATGTTTTAGTTGTTTTCTTGCATCTGGGACAGCTGACCAATACTGATTCAAACAGTGGTGTCAAAAGGCAGTACAGCTCACAAATACTTCCCCCAGCACAGATTGAAGTCAGACAACATTTAGCAGAACCAACTGAAAATTTTAGTCTGCCTCTCTCTTTCTCTCTCTCTTAATTTCTTTTCTTTTTTTTTACTCTCATGTTCCACATATGGACAGAACGCATTGCATGGTCATGCATGATCCAATCATGAGTCTTCAGTGGAATAACCCTTCAGTCTTTTTAAAATGCATAACTATATATACAACCAGG